TATCAGATTCTGGTCGTTATGAATATCAAGTTGAAGGCGCACCGGAACCTAAACATTTAGTTACACTTTATGTTGAACCACGACAAGTCAAAGAAAAAATTCTTCATTTACCACAAACAACATTTAATATTGGTGAATCAATTTTAATGAAAATTGATTTTGATGAAAATGATTATATTGCTGAAACACCAAAATGGTATAGAAATGAAATGCTCATACCAATTGGTAATAATACTCCAAGACATAAACAAATTACAGATCTTACTAATCGTACACATACATTCGAAATATTTAATTTACAAGTTGAAGATACTGGTGTTTATGAAATGCGTACATCACATTTAACTGTTAAAACACCTGAAATTAAAATTATACCGAAACAAAAGGAAGAAGAAATTATTCCAGAACAAGTTAGTCGACAATCATCGATTACAATTGATATGAACAAACACAAAGAACAACCACTGTAAGATTAAAAGAATATTTTTCCTATAGATATAATGAGTACTATTATTTACATACAGAAAAAAATATTGAATTATCTCTTAGATAGAAGAATCTAACTGACATAATTTATTTTCATAACTAATAAAACTAATTTGTTTTTAGTGAAGCAAAACCATTTGAAGAATTTCTTCCAGTTGAAGATATTACACCTATTCATGAAGTAACTGAAGGTGATATGATGCATTTAACTGTTGAAAAACCTTCAACTGTACCATTGTCAAATATAAAAATTTTGAAAAATAATCAACCATTAAGTCCATCAAATAATATTCATATTCAAGCAACATCACCAACATCTATTGATATTAAATTTTCACCTGTTGAATTAATTGATCAAGGTTATTATTCTATAAGTATTCGTGATCAAATTCAACCAATAATGCAATTAAATGTACGTGAAAAACCTATTCAACGACAAATTATGAATTTACCACAAGATACATTTATTGAAAGTGAAACATTAACAATTGAATGTAAATTTGATGTTAAACCTGATACACAATTTGTTTGGACAAAAGATGGTTCAATATTATTAAATGATTCAAGAATAAATATTAAACAAAAAAATGAAACATTTACTTTAATTATTAAAGATTTAAAACCATCTGATCAAGGTGTTTATTCACTTGAAAGTAAATATTTAATATTAGATACACCATTTATAACTGTTTTACCTAAACCACATCAACCAACTGTTGAAATTGAACATGAAGAAACTACAATAACTATTCAAGTAATATTTTAAGATTTAATTTTATTAATTTTTTTGAATTATTTTTTTTTAGCCAAATGTATCAGTTACAGATACAAAAGATGAAACAGAAGAAGTAATTATCACACAACAACCAGCTAAACAAATTCAAGCACCAACAGCAGTTATTCAAAGTGAAGATAATCAAATCGATGAAACAGTAACAACAACAACAACAATTGAAGGACAACAACAACCAACATTTCAAGCAAATTCATCTGCTATTCAACCAGAACAAACTACAGAAGAAATTACTGTTCAAACTCAAGTAAATTATTTATAAAAAAAAGAATAAAATAGATTTTTATTTTCAATTTATTATATTTTTAGGTATCAGTTCCAACTGAACAACCTATAGAAGTAAAAACAACAACAACAGCAGAAGAAATTCAACCTGAAGCAACAGTAACTGTTATTGAACAACCAAAACCTACAGTTGAAACTGTCGAGACAAAAGAAGAAGAAAATATTTCAAGTACAACTCAAGTTGAAGAACAACCTGCATTGCAATTTGCAACTGATGCATCATCAACTCAACCAGAAACAAAGGAAGAAGTAAGTTTAGTTTTTTTTGTTTTGTCGTTTGTTATTGTGTGCTGCGAATACGAAAAAGAAACGTTTATCTTTTGCGCGTATTTAAAAATAATATCTAATCGAAGTACAACATATTTTTGTACTATGGAAACAAGAAACAATTATGCAATTTCGATAATTAAATCGATCGTAAACGAAAATTCTCTATATTGGTTTTATCTAGCTTTATAAATATATATATATACGCATGTAAAAAAATATCGAATGAAATACGTATTTA